GAAAGAGCCATACGCGATCATCAAAAGAGCCATAGATGGCTCGCGAGCCATGTGTTGCCGACCCCGGGTCTATGACCTCACACAGCAGAAGAATCACGCCTTCGCCTTTGACACAGCAAAGGTCCTTGCCCGAGCCAATGACAAAATTGCTAGACTGCTGCTGGAAAGTTGGTCTTCGACTGGCACACTCAACAGAGCCATGGACCTTCATCCCGCCTACCGGGCGTTACGCACAAGACTCGAGTCAGGTTGAGCAAGGCCAACAGGAAAGCAAAGTAAACTCGAGTGTGGAATAGAACCAGCTTCAGAGGTAAATAAAGAAGAAGCCGGCCAGGAACAACACCACCGCCGCGCCCACGAGGTTGAGATCAACTCAGGTGGGCAGGAACAACTGATCACTTCGTTGGTCGCTGACGTGCGACAGCCGAAAAGTGAGCAGAGATCACACGAGCTCATCAGAGATCAAACTTACGGTCAGTCAACAGCAAACAGGCAGGTCAAAGGTCGTGGGTCGAGCGCAAATATAATAACATGCATGCGGAAAGGCTGCAACAGTCCCGGCGAACAGGAACTACCGCCCAGTCATTCTGACGATGGAACCGAGAGAGTGTCCGAAACGTCAGCCTCAAAATAAAGTGGTCCATGTCCTCGTACCTTCTTCTTCTTTTTTGGGGATGGTGAAAACGACGTAACGCTTTATAGGATGTTTGCCAAACACATCTGCTTTCATGATATTCTGACGCCCACCGATCAAATTAAGGAGCAGGCTCGTCCCATTGCGCTTTGGAGCTCAATATACAGCTGATGATGGCTAATAAGCCAGAAATAGCCCCGCGGGTCTGCCTTGTGTTTGTCGGTACCAGCTTAATGCTCTCTCTATATATACAGTTCTGCGAGTGCTGCAAACGAAATTCATAAATTTGTAAATGTTTGATTATTTCTCCATACCAGCGGGAACGCATTTACGAAAACTTATACATGACAATAAGCAACATTAGGCATATTAAATGTCTAAAAGAACTATAAGAAGTAGTAAGCGTTTGTTAAGGAAATTAAAATTTTCTCGATAATTTCCAGCTTGCGGGGACGTCAAAAATAGCTGTAAATTAGAACAATTAATTTAAAAAGTTTGTTAAGTTTTAAACTTAACGCAACCACTTTCTTGGTACAAAAATAACTTGCGTTTAAGCAAAATATTTTGTATATTTGAGAATAAATACATTCGTAGTTACTGAGTATCTTTGAAAGAATGGTCTCTGCATTTCGTTATTTTTTGCTATATTCAGGGATCACTGTACCAATTGTCCGTTTGTTCGACCTTTATACCAAAAGATTTAAAATAAGATAAAACAAAACAGTATTTACCGAAAAAATGAGCTTTTGGATATTATTTTCTATAGAAATA